CACATCTCCAAGCACTTCCCGCACAAAGGTGCCTGGCCCCTCAGAGGCCCCTACCAGGTGAATGCAGGAAGCAGCCGCTGAGTTCTGATGGAGAGCACCAGACTGCAGGATGCCCAATGCTGGCAGCGATCCCCCCAGTCCCACCTTCCCACGAGTGCTAGTGCCTGGGGGCCTGGAATGGGTCCCCTTGAGCTCTGAAGCCAGGCCAGCCCCCAGACTTGGGCCCTGCGGGGATGGAGGAGTAAGCGGGGATCGGTTTGGAGAGGTTTTGTGGGGGTTAGGGATGTGACACCCATCCAAGAGGGAGGGGCAGAGAATGCAAGGAGGAGGAGGAGGAGGGAGAGGAGTGATCTTACCCACCCCTGCCTGCTCAGCCCTTGTTCAGAAGCAGAAGGAACTGATACCTGGTCCAGCCCCACTGGCACAGTCCACACTCTGTCTGGACCTCCTGGTCAGTCCATCTCGTCCAGGGGCTTCCTCTACCCACCACCCTGCCACTCTGAAACAGATGCTGCAGGGACAACAAAGGACCCTTGTCCCGGCCACTCTCCCGTCTTCCTAGGTGGCTCTGATGGTCACCTCTTCTCTCCCACCCCGGCCCTTCGTCCAGTCAGCGCTGAGACCTGTCCAGGGACTGACCGCCGAGTCCTGAGGGAGCGTGAGTGCCTCTCAGGGGCTCGCCTCTGAGGTGCCTCCTGGAGGCAGGGGGTACCCTGAGCTCCCCAGGAGGGCAGCCCTGCCCTGAGGGAAACTGCGGACTGAGCTCTGTTGGGGAGGCTGGCGAGGGCGCTCATATACTGAGGATGGCCCCCCAGAGTGCCAACTGGATCAGCCAGGCTGCAGACCACACTCTCCCCAGAGTCCTTGACCTCATCACCCTCGGTCTTCACATATCCATTTGTCCATGTATCCAACCAGCCATCTGTCTGTCCATCTGCCCACCTGCTCACCTCCCCACTCACCCCGCCAGCCACACATCGACACATCCACTCACCTATCATCCGTCAATCCACTCACCTGCCCATCTACCCACTCATCCACCTGCCCATCTGTCATCTACCCACTCACCTCTCATCTCCCATTTATCATCCATCTACTCATCCACTTACCCACCCACCTACTAATTCTTCCATCCACCTGTTTATCATGTGCCATCTACTCATCCACTTACCCACTCACCTACTAATTCTTCCATCCACCTGTTTATCATGTGCCATCTACTCATCCACTTACCCACTCACCTACTAATTCTTCCATCCACCTGTTTATCATGTGCCATCTACTCATCCACTTACCCACTCACCTACTAATTCTTCCATCCACCTGTTTATCATGTGCCATCTACTCATCTATCAGCTATCTGTGCATCCATTCATCTGTTCACCCATTTACCCTCTACCCGTCCATAGATCACCCACCCACTCATCTATCTATCTATCTATCTATCTATCTATCATCATCATCATCATCATCTATCTCTCTATGAACTCACCTGCTCACCTATCCATCCATCCACCTGTTTATCATCTACCCACCCATCTGTCATCAGTCTGTCCTGCCACTCAGCTGTTCAGCCATCCATCCACCCACCCCCTTCACCGTCCACCACCCCATGGCTCAAACCACGGCTCAGTGCTCCACACAGCCAGGCCTGGCCTTGGGTGGCGAATTCTGAGAGGAAAGGAACATTGTTTCTCCCCTTGAGCACCCTGTGGCCTGGTGGCTGAGCAGGGTAGGCAAGGCAGGCTTCAAATGTAAAGGGAAGAGGTGGTGGAGAAAGGAGGGGCGGTTGGTGCCAGGCCCCAGGGATGGAGGCAGGGCAGAGCTGTAGACAACTAGAACGTAGGGTGAGTCCTGAGTGGCCCACTGAGCAGGGTAGGTGGGGACAGGAGCTGCAGTTCCACAGGAGTGGGAAGTGCTGTCCATTCCTGGTCATGGTAGCAGGCCCAGAGGGCGGGGGCGACATGATGCTGGGATGGTGCCCACCTCTGCCTGCCTGAACACCATGCCAGTTTTCATTCGTGGGCCCTCATTCGACTGCTGGACTGCCCAGTCCCCCAAGGACTGGCAACAGTCCCATCCCCAGTTTACCATGAGGAGACGGAGGCTCAGAGGGTAAAGTGACTTGCTCACCAGTTCAGAGGAGCTGCTAGTGGGTCAGGGATTACATGGGGGGGGGGTACTCCCCAAGGCTGTGGCACCATGGTCCATCTGTGGACAAAGACCACAGGCTCAGATAGCAAGTCAACAACTCAAGATCCCACACTGCTCTTGACTGGGCCCAACCTGATCTCCCATTTCCACCCCAGGACCCACGGGGCAGGTGGGGGTTCACAAAGAGACGGGGGGCAACCTAAGTGGGGCACAGATCCTTTCCTGCCAGGCCATATCTGACCCCATATAGGGCTGCTTTCCCCAGGGAGGCACCTCCATCCATCCATCCATGCATCCATCTATCATCCACTCACCATCTACCACCCGCCCATGTGTTATAACTCTCTAGCCTCTCCCAGCACAGCCACCCACCTGCCCATCCATCACCCATCTGCCCATCTATTGGCCACCCACCCACTCACTCACTCAGCCAACATATGCCGTCGGCCCATCCATGTGCCCCACCGACCCATCTATCTACCTACTCACCCATCCAGCCACCCACTTACCCCACGCATTCATCCACCCATCTGCCCATCCACCCAACTCTTCATCTACTTATCCCTCCTTCCTCCTTCTAGCTACCTACTGACCCCTCCCTCCATTTACCCATCTATCCACCCCTCCCTCCATTTACCTATCCATCCATCCATCCATCCACACCTCCCTCCACTCCTCCCTCCCTCCCTCCCTCCATCGATCTACCTACACATCCATCCACCCACCCTTCCTCCCATCCATTCCTCCATCTGCCCACCGGTCGTCTCTCTGTCCTGCCCAGAGCAGCCCGCTTCCTGCTCCCTCTGGGCCTCTCTGTCCCTCCTGGCACCCCCAGCCTTCTCTCCAGATGCTGGCATCTCCTGGAGGACCTGGCATTGGCAGGACTGACCTACTGACATTCCTCAGCCCACCCTCTAGACTTCACCCTTCACCCCACTGGGTCCAGATAGAGCCCTGGTCAGTGGGGCCTTTCCTATGAGGCACTCACTAGCTGCCAAGGTGGCCCAGTCCCCCGCCTTGTGCACAGCCCCCAGGGTCGGCGTTCCTGTGCACCACTGACAGTCCGGGCCTTCTCTCAGGAAGCTGCCGAGCGGGGTCAGGCCTTGGAGCCACACCTGCCGATACTCTTGCAATATCCTGGGCAGTCCGGGCCGGGCCCAGGCTGGCCCGCCCGCCGCCGTCGTCCGGTTAATTTGTTTGATTTATTAGATTTGCCGTGACTGCGACATGCTACGCCCTCCCTGTGTGCCCTTCCCCTTCCCGGCACTGGAGAAGGGTAACTCAGGAATGAGACCGATCCCAGTCTGTGCAATCCCCCTCGACTGTCAAGTCAGCGCACTTCCACCCGGCCACCGCCCACCCCATTAGAGGGTGGTGAGGTCTAGGGGACAAAGGGGCCACCACCAAGCCGAGACGGAACTCCCAGCCTGCTCATCCCAGCCCAGTGCTCCTGCAAGCACCCCGCCCTGTCCTGGAGGTCAGAAGGGCCCTTAGTCCCACAGCAGGGCCACCCGCCTGCCACCGCTCTCCACAGAGCCAGGTGCCAGCAGTGGGTGCTCACCTTCTTCTACCCACTGCCTACCCATCGCCACTCAGTCAGCGCTTACCCAGATCTCCCGGCAAGTGTCTGCCGCCGAGTTCTCCTGTCTGCTCACCCCTCTCACGCCACCCATTCTTTCTGACAGCCACCCATCCATCCGTCCACCTGCTCTCCACCCCTCCACCCATTGATTCGGCCACCCATGGTCTCATCCATTCATTCACCCACCCACCCATCCATTCACCCATCTATCTATCCTTTCCTCCACCCACCGACCCACACAGCACCCATGAAGACCCTGGGAGCGAGAGGAAATAGAGAGGCAGAAAGGTTGGCAGGGCTCTGGAAGAGGCACCTGGACTGGGTCCTGAAGGACAGAGGTGGACGATGGAGGATCGAGTGTGTCTGGGGCGGGGGTGGAGGTGGGGTGTCCGCACGGGGTGTGAAGCGGGTGGTGAGGAAGCTCAGAGAGCATCTAGCGGGGGCTGGAAGGGGGCAAGACCCCACGTCAGGCTTGGTAGGAAGGGAGTCAGAGGAAGGCAATGAGGGGGGACAGATCAGAGCCCATTCCCATCAGCCCACAGTAGGAGCTGGCTGCCTGCCCCTCGCACCCGACCCTCCCCCACCCCCAGGCACTGGCCAGTCCACTCTACCTCTTGGTGTGTGCTCCAGGGGCTACCTGTGCCAGGAGAGGGAGTCTGGGGTCCAGACCTGCCTTGGCTTCAGATGGACTTGTGGTCAGCTGGCCCCAGGCCCAGGGGGAGGGGGCACAAATGCCCTTTGCATTGCCCAGCACCCGGCAGGGCTCTAGCCAGCAGATCCTGTGGCCACACTGGACCTGTGTCCCAAGTGCCCAAGACTGAGCTCCTTAGGGCCCGAGTATCCCCAGGGCAGAGCCAGGACTCAAGGATTTGGGGGGCTGGGGGAGGGCAGCACATGCTACAGGGGAAGAGGCAGGCAGATCACTCAGCCAGCAAGGTAGGCATGGGCTGGCTGGTGCTTCCTGATGGTCTGCAGCCAATTCACAGGCTTTCCCTGAAAACGGAATTGCCAGCTAGTCTGTGTCCCTTGCTGGCTGGCTGGGGCCCCTGTCCGCCCCTGTGAGGGGTTTTCATCAGGAAAGAGGCTTTGTCCCTGCAGGAAGGGGCCATGGTGAAAACATGGGTGACCCGTGGTCACTGGCGAGGACCTGACCCAAGGGCTGGTGAGCGGTATGGACACCCCAACCACCCAGCAACCCTCCTTACTGGTACAGTCCCCAGCCACCCTCTTTACTGGGGCAGCTGGTTCCTGCCACCGCCCAGGAGTGGGTGCCCCAGGGCCTGGGTATAAATCTTCCTTGGAGGCCGTGTGGAATCAGACAATGGCCTGCAGCCGGCAAGTGCTAGCCCTACTGCTCCTGGCAGGCTGGCTCCTGAGTCCAGGTGAGTGGGTGGTGGGCAGCTACACTGGCCGCTGTCTTGGGACCTGTCCACCTCCTCACTGGGGTGGGGCTGGTGGGGGCTTCCTGCCTCCCGGAGCCGGCTGGATTCCCAGGGCTGGCTTCCCTCACGTCTCTCAGGGCATGCCCTCTGGGAAGACAGGAGGCTCTGAGGGATGGTGGGGTGGTCAGTCTACACTGCAAGGGCGAGAAGGGGTGGGAGCCACACAGGGCCACCAGAGCCTCTACTCCCAGCCTGGGGGCAAGCTGCTGAGGGCAGCCCCCAACCCAGCCCTGCCCCTGCCAGGAGACAGCTTCAAATGCTACACCTGTGAGCAGCCCACAGCCATCTCCTTGTGCAGAAAAGTGGCCCACTGCCGCCCGGAGGACACGGCCTGCAAATCCACCCTGGTGACAGTGGAGTCAGGTGAGGCCAGGGGCCCCCAGCAGGGCAGGGCCACCCCCAGCCCCTTCCTGCCCTCTATGACCCTCCTGGGGAGTTCAGGGACTCTGCCCGGGAGTGCCGGAGGCGGGGCTGGGGGCCTGGGCCCTCATGGCCCACCAATGCCCAAGAGTAGGACCTCCTATATCCGAGTTGTTGGGGGCAGGGCCAGCAGGGGAAGAGGAGGTGGAGGGGACGCTGACGCAGCCGCTTCCACAGAGTTCCCCTTCAACGGGAGCCCCATGGTGACCGCCGCCTGCGCCACCTCCTGCGAGGCCACGGACCCCGACATCATCGGCGCGGCGCACCCCGTCTCCTGCTGCTTCCATAACCTTTGCAACGTGGTCGGGATGCTGCGCCAAGGTGCCTGGCGACGCTGGAGGGCCAACGCGCCTCCCTCCTACCCGGGCGAGGCCCCACCCGTGTTCTAGCTAATGAGGAGGCACCGGACCCTGGGGCTGGCCAGTCGGCCAGGACCACCTGTGGAACCCCAGGGAACCAGTCCTCAGGGCCCAAGAGCTCCTGCTCCCCTGCCACCCGGGATGCTCCCCAAGTCACACACACCCCCTTCATCCTACCCAGGGCAGCTAGGCCAGGGGGCCTCGTGGGCACTTCCACCCCAGCATTTTCCAGCTCTGTCCAGCGCGGGTCTCAGACGGCCTACAGATGGGCTCCAGCTGCCTGAGAACTGTCCAGTCCTTCCGGAGGTGGAGCATGGACTCCAATCTATGACGGGCCCCAAGTTAGCCACTCCCCTGGGATTGAGTATCACTGGAGCAGCCCGTGCAAGGATACCCCCACCCAAGGCATACCAGCAGCCCCCATAAGAATCCCCCTGAGCCTGGCCAGGCACCCACCCTCCGCAGGATTGATGAGGCGTAGCAGGGTGGGGGTAGCAGGGTGGGGGATCTGCGGGACTCCCCGTCTGCAGTGCATCCTGAGGCCAGCAGAGGGCACCAGAGTGTCAGGTGGGAAGCATGCACCCCTGCAAGGACTGCCACCTCATCCCCCCAGGCTGGGACCAGCGTCCAATTTCTACATCCCCAGTGGCCTCCCCAGGCAGAGCAGGGCTGGCCAAACCTTCCGTGCCACAACCCAATGTGAGCCCCCTGCCCCAGGGGCAGCTGGAAGGTGGGCTGGGGTCAGGAAAGGGGAATGGTGCAAGTAGAGCCCCCACCCCTTGCCCACCTTCACCTCCCAGGGAAGGGTCCATGAGGAAACAGGCTGGTGCATCCCCATCTGCCACGTGGCACCCCTTCACGGCTCCCACAATGCCAGGCAGGGGGTCAGAGCCTCACAACTCGGCTTCAGCCACGGAGCCCCGAGGGAGGTGTGGGTACACTGCCAGTCAGAGCCCACCTTGGAGGGGCATCGGCCTCCAGTCGCCCAGCAAGGACCCCTGCAGGCCTGGAACTTCTGTGGTGTGGTGCACCCCACACCCAGACCTCGGGACGGCCTTCCTCCGATGGGCCCATCCATCTAGATACCCTCAGAACGCCTGCCTCTTGGGGGTCTTTCCCCCTTATCAGGACCTGAGGCTGACCTGTGCTGCCTCCCCAATGGGGACCCTGTGGGCCGTCCTGGGAGGAGGACTACAGCCCACCAGTGGGGCTCCAGTAGCACAAGCTTGGGGGCCAGAGCCTAGGGGTGGGGGCCTGGGCACCACCTCTGGCCTCACCCCTGCCCTGCCACCCTGGCCCCAACCTAGAACACACACCCAAGATGCCTTTCTGGCCCAGAGCAGCCCGTCCGGGGAATTCCCATAATGAGGCTCACCCAGCACGCTCCCATTTAAAATCCTTTAATCTTGGACTTTCTTTAAATAAACAAAGATTGCAGCTTTCCCGTGGCGAGTATAAGGCAGCAGCAGCTGGGGGCAGGCGCGGAAAGGGCCCGGCTGAGGCTCTGCACTCCCTGAGGCTCCCGGGGCTCTGCCCTGCCTGGGGTCCAGTGCGGGGAGGGCAGAGGCAGGGTGGCATGCAGCCCTGAGCAGCCTCACGTACACAGCCATGCAGCAACCCCACCCTGGGGACTTCTGAGTCCCCTCCCCAGGAGCTGAGGGTATGGGGAAGCACCCCAGGCTGGGGGCTGCACCTGGGGCCCATCTTGCCCTGCATGCCAGCCCAAAGTCTGCCCTCACCTCTGGGCAGATGAGAGCAGCTGCCGGGCAGGACATAGGGCCTACAAGACTGCCTCCACCCCATCCCATCCGGGGGGCAGCCCTTCAGAGCAGAAAACAGTAGTGGGGAGAAGGCGGGTGCTGGGCAGGGGGAGATGGTAGCTCCTAGAGGGGGAGGGGGCAGCATGAGGTCACACAGCATGGCCTGGTGCTCAGCGCCACTCCCTCCTCAGCCGTTGGTGAAGCAGGCCTGACCCCAGGTGGCCTGCCACTGTCCCCAGCTACCTGCTCTGTCCTCACAGGAGCCTGCCTGGAGCAGAAGAGCCAGTGCTGGGGGACAGTCCCTTTAAGGGCACTGGCCAGAGCCCCCTTCTAGCCTACACCCTGAGCTTGCCCCCTCACCTGCAGAAATCACCCCAGGAACTCTTCACCATCCTCAGATAGGAACGAGAGCTCCTGGTCAGGCCCCCGGTTGTGAGACACGCAGATCCGCCCTTGTCTAGAACCACCCCCACCCCCGAAGGCGGCCCTTCTGCAGGTCCCTCGGCTCTAGCACTGGCCCTCCCCACTGGGGCTGCTGGGCCCTCCCGAGGGCTGGGCCTTCTGCCTGGCCAGGGCGGTACTGGTCAGTGGGGCCTGGCCATGCGGGCTCAGGACCCAGGCTGCGCTGGCGGGCAGGCGTGGAGGTGGCGGTCACTTGTCCTTGGTGGCGGTGCTGAGCCCACTCTCAGCACGGAGAAGCTGGCTGCTGGCCTCGTTATAGGAGATCCAGTGCTTCAGGTCATCGGGCAGCTCCGGGGCCTCTACCTGTGGGGAGGCAAGGCTTCTGGCTTCCTGCAGGACCCTGCCCTGACCGAGCCCCTCTACCCAGGTCCCTCCTCCCCACAGGCCCCTTCTGATGCTCAGGTTCCAGGGGTGTAAATGCTGGGCCTTGTGAGCCCAGGGGTCGGCTGCTCCTGGAGGGAGGCCGGGGCTGCTGGGGGCTGGACAGCACTGGCAGCGGTCATCCTGGGGCACACCCCATATGTACACCAAGAGGGTCCTGACCACCCCCCATGCAGATTGGTGATATGTGACAGCAGCCCCCCCTGGAAGGGCCAAGGATGAAGGAGGGGGAGGCCCGATAGAGGGCCAGTCTACCAACAGGGGACTGGGCTGGGTGCATGGCCAGAGAAGCGGGGCCCTCCCAGCAGATGCAGCAAGGTACACAGGACCCTGGGACCCTCCCTGACCCAGGGTGACCCTGGCCACCACCTGGACCAGTTACCATGGTGTCACCAAGGTGTTCAAAGTTCCACCCCTCCACACTTGCCGTCCTTCCATCAAACCTCACTAGCAGCCCAGGTCACACACACACACACACACACACCCGCCCCCAACCTCACACCAGCCCTCTCCTTCCCCTTCAAATCCTGGGACTCCTGCCATCAGACCCTGTGGTGGGGGACCCAATCCTCTCAGGGGTCCCCAGTCGGCCCAGGTAATGGGGAGCTGTGCCTGCAACCATGCTGGGTAACCTTGTGTAAGTCCTAATGCTCTCTGCGCCCGTTTCCCCACCTCTGAAAAGGGGAGGTGGTGACTGCACCTTCCCTCTGCGTAGGTACCTGTCCTGGTAACCACTGCTGCTGCACTCCGCCTCCCCCTGGGGCCTGGTTGTCATGCCAGGAGCCAGGCAGGCGGCGGGCACGGGAGGCCCCAGGGAGGGCCACTGAGAATGGCTGGAGTTCCAACCTCATCCCAGCTCCAGTTATGGGGCCGCAGCACCCGGGGCGGATGCAGTGAAAGGGGTCTCCGGTTCTGGAGAAGGCAATCTTCTCTCACTGTGACTCCTGCCCTCCTGACACCCGCCCCCCTCCGCCCTCTGGTTGGGAGCAAGACCAGCTAGGTGCCTATCATTCGGGGACGCAGCACCTTGGGGGAGGCCTGAGCACTTTCCAGTTGGGAAAGAGGGCGTGAGGGGTGACAAGTGCAGACACGAGGAGGAGTTGGGGTGGGTAGGTTTAGGATAACCCCCAGAAGGCCAGGCAAGGGAAAGTCTTCCTGGCTGGAGGCCAAGCCAGGGCAGGATTTGCCCTCCCGAGGCTCACCTTGCGTTTGCACAGGTGCTGCACGACGCGCTCCGGCGAGGTGCCCAGCACGTGCTGGCGGGAGCGCAATAGCGCGCACAGGAAGCCGTCGCGGAGGCTGACGAAGCGCGCCTCCAGGTAGAAGGCACGGTCGTCCCAACCCAGCAGGCGGGTGCGCACCTCGAAGGGCTCCAGCAGGCGCAGCGAGCGGCGGTAGCGCGCGCACGAGGCGGCCAGCACGGCGCGCGCCCCGAGCGTGCGCAGCGCCCCGAGCACGCCGCAGCGGGTCAGGTGCGCGGCGCGCGCCACGTCGGCCTCGCGCAGGTAGCGCGCGTTGTTCATGTGCAGCAGCAGGTCCAGGTCGGAGGGCAGTACGCGGCCGGCGAAGCGCTGCTCGGCCAGCAGGTCGCGGACCGGCGGTTGCAGCAGACGCGCGCGCAGCACGGCGCACGGCACGCGCACCAGGTACCAGCCATCCAGCAACGCGAAGTAGGCAAACGCCAGGGCCAGCGGCGCCACCAGCAGCCACAGCATCGCGGCGGCAGGGCGGGCGCGGGGCACAGCGACGCCCGCGGCTCTCCGACCAGCGTCCCGGCCGGAACCGGCAAGCCGCGGTCGGGCTGTACCACCTTGCCGTCCACCGGGGGTGCAGGGGCGCCACAGCCCGCCGGGGGCCGCCAGCCGCAGCCTCGCCCTCGCCCCGGGCCCCCCCGCCTTCAGTGGTCGCGTCCGCCGCCGGCCCCTTCGCGGGGCGGGGCCTCCGCCGCCGGCCTCGCGCCACAACGACCTCTGGCGGTCCGGCCCGGTGCTACAGGGGCACCCGGGGTGGTGGGTGGGCTCGCTACCTGGCAGATCCCTCGCCCTGGCCCAGGTCTGGTCGTGAGTCTGGCCGGGGGTCGGGGCTCCAGCCCTCCTCCAGTCCAGGCCGCAGGACTCCGCTGGGCAAGCGGGCTGGGCCGGGTCCCCAGAGGCGCGTTGGACGGTCTCTATGGCAACGTAGCCGCCTCTGCTTGGGAACTTCCGGGCTCCGCACTCCTGCGGGGCGCTGCCCCCCGCGCACGCGGTCCCCTGGGGCGCACTTCAAGCTGGCCTGCTGCACCTTCCTGGCCACCCCCACCTTTCTGGTCATACCCCTTTGGGAGCACCCTTGCCCCCCAGATAACGACTAACGCGTTCCTAGCTTCCCCCCCAAGGGAGTAGGTACAGAGGAGGCGGGGGAGGAGTCAGCGGACCGGAGTAACTCAGCAGTGGCCTTAAAGGTACCTTAAACCCTTGGGTCGCCGGCCCAGAGGCCTCGCGGGCGGCTGGGTGCCTCATTCTTTGGGTGACGGCAGTGGCAGCTAGGGAAAGCCGGCAGGCTGCCCTTCCCATGCGGCGCCGCCCCAACGAGGGTGCACCTCCCAGGGCCTGCGGGTTGAATGAGCGTCGGGATTGGCTGGGGTCCTAGGGCGCTCGAATGCGCCAGGAAGACACGCGGAGGCAGGGGGCCCTCGGCTGGCAGAAGTCTTTATCTCCGATTGTTTTCTGGGCCCAAATCTGTGTGGACCCAGGGCAGGGTGCTCCTTGGTCCCTGGATCAGCTTGCATGCTCTTAGGGACAGGGAGTTCGTGCTCTCTCAGGACAGCCCAGCAGCCCTGAACATTCTGATGGAGAGACAGGCCTTTCTCGAAATGCTCACACTTGCTCTCATGACTGGCCTGGAGCCAGGACCAGCGCCCTGGCTAGGTCAGGGTTGGGGTCTGGGTTAGGCTGGGGCCCTGGTTTGGGCAGCTCTGTAGCAGCTGCCACCTGTGACCAGTCCAGGACCATCCAGAATTTTCCAGGAGAAGGTTCCAGGCGGAGGTGAGGGGTTGCTGGGACCGGAGGTCTCTGCAGTGTCTGAGCCCTGCCCCTGCCCCTGGATGCACCCTGTCCCAGAGCTGTCCTGCCCTGATGTGGGCTTGGACACAGGCATCCTGCCCAGGTGGGAGGCCATGGTGGTCAGTCATGGTGGCGAGCAGCTCAGAGAAAAGTCCAGGTCCAAAGTAGAAGACTCACCTCTACGAGAGGGGACTTAGCACAGCCATCAGGGTCCCCCTTAGTCCTTGAGGGTCCTTTAGTACCCTGTGCTCAGAAAGCCTCCCAGCTTCTCGGGGTACTGGGTGGGCAGCTGTGTCCTGGTAAGTTCTGGGGGTTTCAGAGACTCCGGGAGAACAGGACTGCCCAACCAGATGCTGAGGCCCCAGCCAGCACCAGAACTGGGTCTGGAGCCAGGCAGGCTCTGGGGTGCCCACCAGCCCCACACCCGGCCCTCTTGAATGCTGGTGGGGGCGTGGGGGGGGGATCAGGAGAATGGAGTGTCTCACCTCAGCCCACAGGGTCCCAAAGAGTGGCTGCCCCCCACCCCCAGTCCAGACTAGCACCCTCAGGCTCGGGCATCTTCAGCATGCACTCCTCGGGGAGCTGACCAGGGTCCGGAGACGGCCTTTGCTTACTAAGAAGGTGCCCAGACCAGAGGTACCTGGCTACACCCTGCATCCCGTGACGTTCATCCACACCACACATCCTTCCCAAGCCCCTGCCAGGCTCTGCCTCCACTCAGAGCCCCCTCCTTCCTGTGAGACACCGGTCACTCTGAGACCCTGTCTGAGGTCAGGCAGGCGGACTGATAGTCCCTCACCCGGGGGGCTCCAGAACCAGGTGAAGAATTCACTGGGCCCGGCCTGCCTCAGGAACAGTGTGCCGCTCAGTGGGAATAGCATCCACAGAGGCCCGAGGCAGCTGGGCCAGGCTGCATTAGGGAGTAAAGCCAGAACTAACCCCCAGGGGCGCTGGCTCCTGGGGCCTGGCTGGGCACTCTCAAAAGGCCGCCCTGGCTGTGGTTGAGGGGGGGTCAGTGGGGAAGGAGTCTCCTGGGTGGTCTGGGCGAGGGCGAGGGCCCTGACCGTGGCTGGGGGTGGCTACGGCCCTCTGGTAGCAGGCTCCAGGAGACACCGATCAGTTTCTCCCTCTGACTCCCTCCCCTCTGCCATGGGGCAGAGCAGACTCAGAGGGTCCCAGAGGGATGCTGGGAACCCCTTGCCTGTCAACGTCAGCCTGACCCGTGAGACCCAACCCTTCAGGTCCTGAGAAGTCATGTGACCTTGTATCCACCAGGTGGCAGCAGGGTGGGCAGGAGACCCCAGGGCAGTCTCCTTGTCTGGCTCTGCACCCCCATCCCCCCCTCTGTCAAACACTCCTACCCTCCTGACCCCAGACTATCTGCCACACAAAGGCTGCTGCTTGATAGCACCAAGCGAGGGGGCTGGTTTGGCAGCAGTGGGTGGCCGGTGCAGGGGCAAGGGCAGAAGTAGGGTGACCAGGAGCTGGGACGTGGAAAGAGGCAGGTGGCAGGGATCGGCAGTCACAGCCCGTAGTGGGATGTCGGCCACAGACTGCAGGTCAGCCAAAGGTGGACTTGAGTAGAAGACGGGCCCAAGACCTGGCTGGCCGGTTGGGAGCCAGCAGGAAAGGGGGTGTCGGCTGGGTTCTCTCGAGAGCAAACCCAGTGTATAGAGAGAGACAGGGCTCGTGCAGTGGTAGCAGCAGGCCAGCTCCTGGCCGGAGGGCCAGGCGTCAAGCTCCTGGCTTCTTCTGACGTGTGCAGCTGAGGGGCGCTGATGAGCCCAAGGTTGGCAGGAAGGTACTGTTTGTGGCTGCAGAGGAGCAGGGACCGGAGGCCAGCAGGTCAGGCTTGTGGCTGCAGCGGCTGACGAACCCAAGGGCGGTGGCGAGTCAAGTGATGGCCGCTGACCACTCCCTGGATTGGAAAGCAATATGGCAGATCACTGGCCCCATTCCAAAGAACCAGATCCAGGATCCAGACCCAGCAAGAGGCAGGCTTTTCCACAGCGCCCACTGGTCGGAAGCAGGCCACACCCAGGGAAAACTTCCTTCCCAGTTGACATGCATCAGGGCTGTGACTGGAGGATGGCTGTTGCATACCATCTCATCTTACAGCAGGCTGGCTGCTGGAACAGGTCCCTCCCTAATGCATGGGGGTCACACCCTGTCAGATCACAGCACGGGGTTGCCTGGGCGTTAGCTGTCAAACCACAATCCTCGCCCAGCCAAGTTGGCACAAAACCTTCACTCTCAGAGAGGGTGGGGCTAGAGGAGACGCTGGGGTGGAGGGGTCCTGGAGCCCAGGAAGGCAGGGAGTCAGGAGAGGGAGTGGCTGAAGGCCGGATCCAATTCCCACTTGCTGTGACAGATGGCAGGCAAGCCTGTTCCTACTGGAACGCTGCCTGCAGAAACCCAACAGAGAGGGAAGACACACAGTCCTCACTGAGAGGAGTCTTAGGGAAGTCGCAAGACAGCACCCAGTGAGGGGTGGAAACCTGGGGGGGGGGACAGTCTGCTGGGTGCTGGTCCTCACAGCTTTCACCCCGCTGTGAACTTGGGGCGCAACTGTTAACCATAGAACTCTGGAGACCGGCAACCTGAAATGAATCTTCCAGAACCAAACCCATTGCTAGCAAGTCCATTCCAGCTCAGAGTGGCCTTACAGGACAGGGCAGATTGGCCCCCGAGGGTTTCCCAGGCTGAACATCCTGCCAGAGAGGGCAGCCTTGCTATCTTCCCTCCAAGGGGCTACTGGATTCGAACTGCCCACATTCGAGTTAGAGCCCACTGCTCAACCCACAGCGCCAATCAGGCTCCCCAGGATGAATCTTAGAGCATTCAAATCAAGGTGTTGGGGGTGCTGGGGGGAGGGGTTGGGTTCCCAGCCTCTCCCTTCCCCAGTTTCTAGAGGCTACCCTTCCTGTCCCCTCTGCTCCCTCTAACCAACCCAAACCACACTCCCTGTGGAAACGCTTATTTCCGATGGTCTTAGAACGGAGACACCGCTCCTCTCTCCGTCACCAGTGGGTCCACCCACATGCAGACATGCCCACATACGAGTACCTGGTGTGAAGACTGACCCATGCTACACCAGGCTTCAAGACAAAATTTCATTTTTTTGTCATTAGAAATAAATGTATCACAATATATAATTATAGCTTTTGTGATTCATCACTATGCTTTATGTTCAATTTGTAACAAATAAAATACATACTGTCTGTCAGATATTCACATGACGATTCATAGCAGCAAAATGACAGTTATAAAGTACCAAGGAAAATAATGTTATGTTGGGGTCACCACAACATGGGGAACTGTAGGAAAGCGTCTCGGCAGGAGGAGGGTTGAGAACCACTGCTCTAACAAGACTGTTGCTCTAACAAGCCCGTTGGCACTGTCACATCTGCTGGGCCCTGTCAGTGGGTGGGGCACACATTCGCAGGCTCTGGGGTTCAGGGTAGGTGCCCTGGCTGCCCAATGGGCTCTGTTGGGCTGCTCACTCCAAGGTCAGCAGCTCCGAGCCACCAGCTGCACAGGAGAAAGGCGAGTTAGTGCGGAAGACCCACGGGGGCCGCTCCCCACTGTCCTGTAGGGACCCTCTGAGACATGGCTGTGTGCAAGTGGGGATGAGGACAGTGGCCCTGGTCGTGTGCGGTGGTTAGGCCCCCGACCTCCTCCCGAGGAAGACAGACCAGGAGACCCTAGGGTCGCTGCAAGATGGTGGGGGCTTACCCTGCAGACCAGCAACTGTCCTCTGCGCCCCTCTTCCGCCCCATATTTCCCTCTTCCGCTTTCAGACAGCACGCACCCCATTCCAAGGTCCCCAGTCTCGGCACACTGCAGCAGCGACTTGACTGGAGATGAAGCCCCATCTACGCCCCTCAGGGGGAACCTCTCGAACCATTGGCACCCGGAAACAGCTCAAGGGGGTGGGGTGCGCTTCCCGCAGGCCACCCCAGACCTGGTGCCGCCCAGGTGACCCCGACTCGCTGAGGCCCCAACGCTGTCTGTGCCATTTCCTTCTCTCACCCCCAAACCTGCGGCCCTGAGACCCCGAGGCCCAATCACCAGAGAAGAAATTGAAAGGCGAAGGGACCTGGGCTGCGGCCAAGTGCTACTCAATCCTCGGGGTCACGGCTCCGCTCCTATCTCCCCCTTCCCCGCAGCCTCCTCCCAAACCCCAAGCCACGGGCTTCTGGGCCCCGGAGGGTCCAACGAACCGCCTAGGGGGCCTCCGGGGCTCCCCAAGGCTGTAATCGCCACGGGAGCAGACGGCCACACCGGTGTCCTGCGGAGCGGAAGTTAGGCTAGAACCCTCAAACTCTGGGTTAGTGGCCAAGCGCTTAGCCACAGCGCCACCAGGGCTCCCCCGCCACCCCTGAGGCTCCACTTTCCCAGAAGCCACAGAGAGGCCGGGTCCTCCAGCGCGGCTAGAGCGGCCCCGGAAATGGCAGGGGGGCGGCGGGACCGGCGGAGGCCGGAGCGGTCGGCACTTCCGGCCTGTGCGGCGGCTCGGGGTCCGGAGGGTGAGTGGGGCCCGGGCGGGTGTCGGGCGCCCACGCTCGGTCTCCGTCTCCCGGCTGAGTGGGTCGGGAGCCTCCGGGGACCGGCGGGCGGACACCTCTTTCCCAAGAGCCAGCCCTGCCCGGCTCTCTCCCCCCGGCTGTGGACTCGGTGACCCCGAAAATGCTCTGCTGCCCGTCCCTCCACCAGGGCCTTGTATCTGAACTTGTAGGCCCCCACCCCTTCCCTAGAGCTCCTCGAAATGGAGGGTACGCGTCACCCCCCAACCTCGGCCCTGACACCCCCAGCCCGGGTCCGCCTTGCGCGTCGACTCTCGAAAAGACCGACCCCGGAGCAACCCGGATGGGGCCGTGCCGCTCCCTCTGCCTGCAGGGCTCCCAGCCCCCAACGTCGCCCCGGCTCTAGAAACGGCCTCCGAAGGAGTCTGTGCCAGCGGCCAGATGCAGGGCTGCCTTGATGGCGACCACGCCCCCCTCCGCGCCCGTCCTTGTCAGGGGACCCCAGGGCCCCACCCTCCAGACCCCTGAACTCAACCCCATACCAGGCTCCAAAGCACTGGGAATTCGAACATCTTCCAGATGCCCCGACACACCCACCACCACCACGACCATGAGCCGTGGGTGCAGCCCACCCGCCCTTTCTCCGGGACCGCCCGTGTTTCAGCCATGCCTTTGGGCTGAGGGCTGCAACGTCAGGGGGGTGGAGCCCACCGTCCCCTTCTCTCGCCTGGTCCTTCTGTTACATTTTTAGCGTCCGTTGCTTTTAGAAGCGTCTTCTCACCTCATTTCTTACTCTGGTGGTGTGGTTGTATTCCAGGGCAAGCTGTGCCCTGGCCACAGCGTTACCTTGGCCCTCGGACCCAGCCTCCCCCCTCCCCCACCGCATTATAAAAATGGTGAAGCCGAGCCAGGCGGGAACAAATGTGCCCAGCCCTGCCTTGGACCAGCCATGTCTCCCTTTTCCTTAAGCTGTGGCCTCAAAGGGCCGCTTGCCTCTGCTCCACAGCCCCCTCCCGCTTCAGGAGCTGGCAGCAGGGCCTGGGCTTGGGAGGCAGGTGTGCTGGGGGCATTGCCCGGGGTGCATGGGCACCAGGTGGCACAGTGACCGCTGGTGTGGGGGAAGCTCCTGGGTGCTCAGTCGCCCCTCTGTGACCTCTTTCCTCGCCCCCTCCCCCCACTCCTTTCTTTCCAGGTCGTCAGGGCTTGTGCAGGCGAGACTGCTGTGGGCCTGGAGAGTGACCTCCGAGGACACGGCTGACTGCGACTGACCCGGGAGAGGCGTCCAGGGCCGGCCACAGGGGAGACCTGGGGCCACTCCTTTGCCAGGGGGGAGCCGGTGGCCGGTCTGAGCCTTGGGGCAGCTGACGGAGGGGTCCGTAGCCCGCCAAGACTGGCGGTGACACGTCGCAGCCGGGCGGGGCGTTTCCCCTGGGGGGTGGCGCGGGCTGGCCGGCACATGGCCTCCCAGGCGGTGGCGAAGCGGAAGCGGGTCGTGCTGACGCTGAAGGAGAAGATGGACATCTGCGCGCGCCTGGAGAAGGGCGAGAACCGCAAGGCGCTGATGCAGGAGTACAACGTGGGCATGTCCACGCTGTACGACATCAAGGCGCACAAGGCGCAGCTGCTGCGCTTCTTCGCCGGCTCCGACTCGCAGCAGGCGCTGGAGCGCAGGCGCACGCTACACACACCGAAACTGGGGCACTTGGACCGCGTGCTGTACGAGTGGTTCCTGGTGAAGCGGGCCGAGGGCGTGCCCGTCTCAGGTCCCATGCTCATCGAGAAGGCGAAGGGCTTCTACGAGCAGATGCGCCTCACCGAGCCCTGCGTCTTCTCAGGTGGCTGGCTCTGGCGCTTTAAGGCCCGGCACGGCATCAAGAAGCTGGACGCCGCCTGCGAGAAGCAGGCGGTCAACCGTCAGGCAGCGGAGCAGTTCTGCGGCTTCTTCCAGGGCCTGGTGGCGGAGCACGGGCTGTCCCCTGAGCAGCTGTACGACGCCGAGGAGACGGGGCTCTTGTGGCACTGCCTGTCCCACCCCGCGCCTGAGGGCCACCCCGCGCCCGGCCTCCAGCAGGGCAGGGATCGGCTGACCGTCCTCTTGTGTGCCAACGCCGCGGGCTCCCACAAGGTCAAGCCCCTGGTGGTGGGCAAGTGCCGCGGCCCCCGGGCGCTCCAGGGTCTCCAGCACCTGCCCGTGGCCTACCGGGCCCAGGGCCACCACGGCTGGGTGGACAAGGAGATCTTCGCTGACTGGTTCCACCACGTCTTCGTGCCCTCCGTGCACGAGCACTTCCGGACTGTGGGCCTGCCCTCCGACGGCAAAGCCATCCTGCTGCTGGACAACTCGCAGGCGCACCCGCCCGAGGCCGCACTGGTGTCGGACAACATCTTCACCATCTTCCTGCCAGCCGGCGTGGCCTCGCTGATCCAGCCCATGCACCAGGGCGTCCGGCGGGCCTTCCTGCGGAGCTTTCTCAGCCCGCCTGCCCCCCTGCAGGACTTCCACCCCCGCTACAGCATCCATGACGCTGTGCTCACCGTGGCCTGTGCCTGGGGCGCGGTCCCCAGCGTCCTGCTGCGCCGCGCCTGGAGGAAGCTCTGGCCGGCCGCCGTGTTTGCCGACGGCTGTTCGGAGGAGGACAACGACGAAGTGGCCGGGCGTCCGCAGAGCAAGGCTCTCGCCCACATCCCAGAGGCCATCCCGGAGCCCCTGAAGGACAGCCCAGCGCCTGTGGGCGGCGCGGGCCCAAAATGTGAGGGCGGGGAGTGGGCGGGCGTGGCTCCGCAGCGGGCCCTGGCACTGCGGGGGGGCGGCCATCGAGCTGGCCTGGCGTTGGGCAGGGAGGCTCCGGGCGCCTGGGAGAAGGCTGCCGCGTGCTTCAAGGGCATCCTGGACTTCGCCGAGAGGCACCCCTGCTTCAGCCCCCGGGAGCTGGGCCAACTGCGCCTGCTCCACTCCGCCTTCCTGAGGCACAGGCTGGCCCTGGGGAGCGTAGTCAAGACAGAAGGCCCCCACGAGTGCCCCGGGGCGGGCCTGGCTCCTGTGCGCCCCCCTCTGCCGTGCACATCGGCAGCAGCTCACAGTGACAGCTGACCAAGATGAGGCCCCTGGTGAGGCAGAGTCCTGCCAGGACAGTGGCCAGGTCCCTGGGGGTTGACTGTGTAGCTGCCCCACCGTGGGGCTGAGAAGACGAGCTAGCCCCTCGGCTGGCTGGAACTCGGGCCTGGCTTGGCCAGGCCCTGCCTTTGGGCATTCCCCCAAGAGGGCGGTTCGCTAACAATTTCCGGGTGTCTCCTGGGCCTGCTACTCCAGGTCCCCAAAGGTGCACTGGTTCATGATGCGCAGCCTGGTTGCTGGCCCAGTGGGGGTGCTGTTCTCACCATCAGCAAGTCTGGGGGTGCGCTGCCTTTGGCTCACAGTGCACAGGAAACATAGGTGCTACTTTCTTCACCACTGGCCCTAGGGTCCCGCCCCAGACCCCCCTGGGTCACTGCAACCTCTGCCACGAGCAGCCACAGGTGGAGTGAGGGCCAGTCAGTTCCCGTGTGCCCAGGAAACGGTGACATGGAAACTCAGCCGGGCTCTGTGTGAGTTCTTGCTTCCTGTACATGCCCTGGTGACATCAGTCCGTCATCAGCAATTTGCCGCTGAGCCCAGGCTGGTGGCTTGTGCATCTGTGTGCCATGTGCCCAGGGCTGCCAAGAGGTTAGACACACGTCGTGCTCAGACCTCACGCCACACACAGGATACTCCTTCACGCACACACCACACATAGTGCACACCCTCACACCCAACACACACACTCCTACAGTAAAGTCCCTCCATTCGTGGCACCTTCCCTCCCCCACAGGACTCACATCACAGGTTACACACTCCAGGGCACACAAGTGTATACACTTCACATTACACAGTGCACAGTACGTGAGGGGGGGAGTGCATGTGCACATGAGTACATGCCCCGAGGGGTGCCACACACATGCACATCCAAGTACATGCCCCTAGGGGTGGGTGCCACATGTGCACGAGTACATTCCCCTAGGGGTGTCACACACATGTACATCCATGAAGCCACAGACAAAGCCCTTCTCCAGTCCCCCCCCCCCTCAAAACCCTGGTTGCACCTCACTGGCCATGGTGGCACAGGCTGTGTGCCGTCTGCTGACCAAGGCAGGCCCTAGCCCTCCGCCGGCACCCACCGCCACCTGTGACCATGGCCTCGTGGGCTTCCTCACAGATTGGATTCCACTGCTGAAGGGCAGGGGCCTTTCACGCCCTGGGCTTGTGCTTGCCCTGCTCCTGCCACCCCCGCACAGGGAGAGCTAGAGGGGGGCCTTTCCCCCATTGTGGATTAGCCAGGGGATTTGTGAGTGGACCATGGAGACCACTGAAATAGAAGGGAGCAATGGGTGGGGGAAGAGGCAAGCTTCGTCCCCTGCAGCCAGCCACGTGACAGGGCCCTCCTGATGGGCAGAGAGGGCGCAGCTGGGTCACCTGCCCTTCCTGCCAGGTGCAGGCCTCAGGGCCCCTACTTCCCAGCTCACCATCTCCCAGCCTTCTACGTGCTGCCACTGCACCAGCCTCTCACACAGGGCCCTGGTCTGACCCCACCTACCTCCCCGGGAGTGCAGGGCACCGCTGACCCTTCTCCCGTGGACGCCCCCAGGGCTCCTGCCTTACACGGTCCCGTAGCCACACACCTGCCAAGGGCCTTTGCACTTGCTGACCCTGGGCCTGGAGGGAGGCCTGCCCAGCCCTATGCTGGATGCTGCCCACCGCTGTTAGGCTTATCCCCAGTCTCAGCGTCCCCCGCCGACCATGAGGCTAGCTGGACACCTGCCCGATGCACAACTTTGGAAGTGGTCACAGGGAGGACACGAGGAATGGCTGTGGGCCTCCAGCCAGAGAGACCTGACACTGCTGCGCCCAGAGGTGTCAGCAAGGGTGGTGGGCACCATCACGTTGGTCCCGACTCTCAGATCCCCCGTAGGTCAGATGGACTGCTCTGTTTTCCCTGGCCAGTGGTCACACGTGTACAGCTAGGCCTCTCCTCCAGAGGAGGTTGAGGGGGCAGGGAGCGTGATGGAGACTGGGGCCTCAGGCTCCAGCTTGTGGCAAGACGATTACAGTGAGGTGGACTGGGGTCCCCTGTGTCCAACTCATGGTGGGGCTATTACAGAGGGGTGGGTTTCTCTGGCTCCTGGGGTCTGCTCACATCCTCCTGAGGGAGGGGCAGGCCAGAAACACAGTGCTGGGGGTGCCCCGGAGGCTGGAGGGGCTTACCCTGTCTCCTCCCGAGACATGTGTTTTGCAGGCTGTCTACTGACCCCAAAGGATGGTGTCTGGTCCAGCCAAGGAGTCATCCCTCTCCGGCCACCCCTCCCACACCTTGGAGGTGGTTCTGAGGAACCCCTCAGCCCTCCAACTGGGTCACTGACGTGGATCCTTGACACAAAAGCCTCCTTCCGATGATACCTGAGAGGTGACTCAGCAAGCCTGCGTCACACCTGCCTCTGTCAGCCCAGGGAGAGGGAGAGGTGCAGGGCAGGCTGGGGGGCTGTTTCCAGCCCCGGGATGCATCCGCAGCCCTTCTCCAACTCTGCTTCCTGTCCCTGGCTCTTGGACCCTGGGTGGCACAGGACTACCCCTCCTCCAGGAAGAGGGCTCAGAACCTGTGGGGCCACCCAGTTCTAGATGCCCTGTATATGGGGGCCTCCATACTGATGGGTACTCCCCACTAGGCAGGCTCTCCTGTCCACTTCTGTGTGCTCAGGGTCAGGTGGCTGGGACCCCCCCCCGCACTACCCTCCTTGTGTGATGTCACTGATTGTGCCCACTGTCTTGACTGCCCAGCACTTCCTGGAGTGTCCCTAGCTAGGCCTTCCTCTGCCCTAGGCTGGGGGCCTTTGAGATCTGAGCACACCTCACCCATTCACCTGTTCATTCCCTCATTCATTCACACCCTCACTCGTTCAATCATTCACACCTTCATTCCCTCACTCCTACCTTCACTCATTCACTCCTACATTCACACACATCTGTTCATTCCCTCGTTCATTTACACATTCCCTCACCTGCTCATTTCCACCTTCATTCATTCACGTACACTCTCTTGTTCATCCCTCATTATTCACACCCTCAGTCCACTGTTCATTCCCTCCATTCATTCATTCACTTCCACATTCATTCCACCCTGCCTGAGTTGAGGCCTTTCCTCTCCTGATCCAGTGGCTGGCCCTGGACATGCTGCCCAGCCTCCCAGGCCCTCCCCTGCCTGTCAGGGTCAGGACTGACTGGACCTTCAGTCCTCCAGTCCCCACCTTGGTGACTGTCAGGTTGTGGGGGTGGTAAGATGGCTGATGGGCAGACTTCTGCCCTGTCCATGGAGGTGGCTGAGGCGCTGGGCATGGAGAGGAGGCAGAGGACAGGCAAAGGCACCGGGGCTTCTGTCTGTCACTGGCAGCCAGGGCTCCAGAGTGAGGCCGGGGTGAGACTTACTGCCATTCCTCTGGATCCCGAGGGGAGGAGGACTGCCGCAAACAAACCACAGAGCGCAGGCATGGCCCACGCCCAGCAGGGCCTGTGCCACCTGTCCTGTGTCTGGCTCTTGGGCTCTGTGGTTTGCTTGCATGCCGCCCTCTGGTGGACTCAGTAGGGAGTGCAGGTAGCCTGACCAGGCGGGGTGTGGGGTGTGCAGGGGCAGTAAAGTGAAGTGGGAGGCCTCATGGAGAACAGGCCTGCATAAAGACGAATCCCAGGACAAAGAACTACCAGAGGGCACCCTTCTGCCCCCACTGATGGCCCTTGACCCCACTTCCCACACCTGGGGGTCAGGCTGGGACTCTGGGGACCTCTTCTGAGGGTGTGGAGCTGGCAGGGAGGCAAACAAAGGTGTTTGAGATCCTGGTCCCTCTAGCCTGTGTCACCCGATGGGGCCCCAGGGGGTGCAAACTCACCATCAGAGTGGCTGCAACATCTAGGCTCTGGGTCAGGGCCCCCAGGTCACTGCAAGAGAAGGACACGCGCAAGCCTCACCTAGAATCTCCACTCACAGAGCCCTGATCCTGCTCACTCTGAGCCCTGATCCTGCTCACTCTGAGCCCTGACACTGTGCACACCCAGAGCCCTGATCCTGCTCACTCTGAGCCCTGATCCTGCTCACACCCCGAGCCCTGATCCTGCTCACTCTGAGCCCTGAGCCTGCCCACACCCTGAGCCCTGACTCTGCTCACACACTGAACCTTAACTCTAGTCACTTTCTGAGACCTCACCGGCCTGTCTCCTGTGAACAGCAGGGAGGATCGGCCCAGGGAGCAGAGCCTCTGTATGAGCACGCTGTTAACGTAGAAAAGTTCAGCACCCCGGACCCCCCTTTCTCTGCAGCCTCCCCCATGTATGACTCAGTGCCCCTGAGCTCATGCCCCCTCCACACTCCCACAACCCAGCACAGAGGAGCCCCAGGTGCTCTGGGCGACAGTCACCAGTGTGGGGTCTGGAGCTGACTCACTGCAGAGCAGGGTGGGATTTGGGTATGGGGGCAGGCTCCCCCGTGTCCAGATGGCTCCGGGGCAGGTGGGTGGGCCACAAGCGAGCTGTCTTCACCGGAGGGGGCAGGGACTTCTGCTCATCTGTGCTTGGAGAGCCCTCCGTGACTGGCCTTGATGAGTGGGAGGGGACAGGCGGACTTGGGCCTCTATGATTTCCAGCTGGGACCTGAGCAGCTGCGCCTGGCCCTTGGGGTGCAGACAGGCTGCCTGGGGTGAGGTCGGGGCAGAAAGAGACAGTGAGAACCATGCTGCTTGGAGGGCCGATTGGGGAGGGGGCAGGCAGGGAAGGTGCTGCCCAGCGCACTGTTGGTAGGGCGGGGCTGGCATCTGGGAGGGGTCAGGCCAGTGTCCGGGAAGCAAGCTGGGCACCGGGTTGCAGTCCAGAGCTGGGAAGGCGCTGTTGTGTCATGCGGCGTGGCTCTGTCCGAGGTGCTGAACTGGAGGTGCTTCCCCCTCTGGGCTCCATCTGAAAGCCCCCCTCCTCAGGTCGCGTGGTCACGCCCTCTCCCTGGCCTCCGTTTTCTTATCCGGACTATGGGCACACATGTTATTTCCTTCCTGCCTGTGGCCCCGAGTCAAACAGGACCAGTGGGTCCCCAGGTACCGACGGAGCTGAGGCCCTGGGATGGAGAATTTGTCAAGGTGGCTGGGCTGTGAGTCCATGTGTTAGCCAAACTCTTATCTGGATGAGGCTGGAGGGTATTTACACAGGATGAGCACTTACACCCAGAGCCCAGGATAGGCAGTGGCTAAAGAGCCCGGCTGTCAACCTCCAGTGGGTGGTTCTAACCCAGGGGCGGCTTGAAGACAGCAGAGGCCAGGCTGTTGCTAAGGAGGACAGTCTGGGGACCACAGGGGCAGTGCCACTCTGTCCCACAGAGTCACTGTCAGTGTCCAGGGGAGCCTGTCACCCTTGGTAACAGGTGGGTCTGATCCAATCAGTTGAAGATCTTAAGAGCAAAAATCTCGCCCCAACCTCACCCCTCCCAGCGTCCACTGGGGACATCAGTGGGCCTGCCCAGGCCCTTCACAGATATTTGCTGGCCCCAGGCTAGCCTGTGGAGGTACTTGCCTGTCCTGTTGCTTGCTTTCAGAGGGGCCAGCCATGTGGCCAACCCGGCCAGGCCCTCCTGACTAGATGTACGGGGTCTTCAGCTGGACCTCTGTGCTCTGGCCATCAACCTCGCTCACATCAGCTCTCTTCCCTGGTGGAACCAGGGTCATCGGCACAGGGTGTGTGTGTGTGTGTGTGTGTGGCGGGGGAATGGAGAAGAGGGCCCTGGAGCCCACTGACAGCTGGGGGGCAGCAGGTTGGGATGTCCAGTGGGAGGAGACAGGCAGTTCTGCCCTGGGCCACGTGCCCAGTGACCTCAAGCACTGGCCTGCAGGTGAGCAGTGACCATGGTGGCTGGCTGTACACACTCATTGTCAGGACAACAGCGGGGCCAAGAAGAGCAGGGGACCCTGCAACCTCGGCATCCCGCGTGGACTGGGGGCTGTGGGGGCCTGTGCCCAGGCTAAAATGGAAACGGGGGTGGGGAGGGAGAAGGTGCCAGAAGAGCGGGTGGGTTTAGGGCGAAGCTGGGCTTCCACCCAGGCTCCCAAGAGGGAGCTCCCACAGCCCCGACAGATGGGAGTCTGCATTATTAATTCAGAAGCCCAACGTGTCACCCCGCTGACTAACACTTTTTAATTAGAAACAGGGGACACAGAGCTGCGTGCTTGTCCTTAGGCAGCTTCAGGAGGGGCCAGCGCCCACCTGCCAGCTCCTGCCCACCCGCTGTCCGCCTGGCCCAGTGGAGGGCGGTGACTCCAGGATGAGTCTCTGACTGCTCTGTGCTGCCATCTACCCCGAGCCCTGCTGGCAAGAGGCTGGGGGAGGGCAAGGACTGCCAGCAGGGCCCCCCACCCAGCAGGGTGTGTGTGTGTGTCACAGAGTGTCCCCTCTGTGCCCAGGGCAGCCCTGAGTTTGCAGGAACCCTGCGTGGGGAGGCAGAGGGCACCCTGCAGGAGGGGGCTAGGGAGACAGAGAGGGGGCCCTGCAGGGAGGGGATTTGGATATGTGGGTGCCCCGTGTGAGGCGTTAGAGGGGATGCGGGTCTGCAGG